ATTAAACTGTCAAACACCAAGCGGTCACCGGTGACCGCAACCTATCCTAACTAATATTATTTTAATGCGAAAGTAACTCTGTCAGTCTGTCTGTCTGCTACTCTTTCACGCCAAAACTACTGAACGGATTTGAATGAAATTTGGTATACAGATATTCTAGACCCCGAGATAAAACATAGGCTACTTTTTATCGCGAAATAGGGGTTGTAAGGGGTTAAATTAGTGTGTCTCACGAAAGTTATAACACACACATCGGTAACAGGGTAGTTTCCTAAATTTTATTTTACTTTTACTGCCTCATTGGCCGAGTGGTCGCAAGTGCGACCGCCGGGCAAGGGGTCTCAGGTTCGATTCCCGGGTCGGGCTTTAAAAAAACTACTACTGGGTTTTAAAAAAAATCTCAGTAGTAGCACGAAGTCTGGAATTGTGCCCGGTATATGGCAATAGGTTCACCCCCTATTACATGGGACTCATAACATAAATAGTGAAAAGTGGATGTTACATTGTGCAGTGGCATTAAGTGCCGTAATGTGCACCTCTGCCTACCCCTTCGGGAATAAAAGGTGTGATGTTATGTTATAACTTAGAAAGTAGTCATTACATTAACCGATAGAAACATAATTATACTTACATTAATCATAATGTTTAACACACCTTTCTTATCACTGCCTCGTTGGCCGAGTGGTCGCAAGTGCGACTGCGCGGCAAGAGGTCTCGTGTTCGATTCCCGGGTCGGGTAAAGTAATACTGGGTTTTAAAAGAATTCTCAGTAGTAGCACAGAGTCTGGAATTGTGCCCGGTAATGGCAAATTAATAGTGAAAAGTGGGAGTTACATTGTACAGTGCCATAATGTGCACCTCTGCCTACCCCTTCGGGGATAAAAGGCGTGATGTTATGATATGTACTTTTCTTATCATTCCAATTATTTTTTCATTATTTGAATAAGTACTCTTACCACGTACTTCACAAGATTGAAAACAATACAACAACTTAAAACAATGAGGGAATAATTTCACAAAAACAATTAATAATTCAATACAAAATTTGATTTCAAACAATCATAACAAATTGTAACAATCAAATAAAACTTTCGAATCGTCATTTTGTAAAACGAAACGAATTTTCTTAACCGAAACGAGATTTCGAAATTCAAAATTCAAAACTTGTACCGAGTTCTAATTTTCAAAAAGATCTGTTCTATATTCAAAATGGATACGCAGTTTTAATTGGCCGATTCATTTTGGCGGGAGAGAGCGTTACTTTAGAGGAATTGAATTATTAATTCGTTAGGGATGGCCATAATTATAATGGCTACTATGCCAGTTTTAATCTATTACAGCGATATCTGTGATGGACGGTTGATATTTTATTTTCTGGTATAAAAGTTATAGAATAGTCAAGTTTTTGATGGCAGACATTTTATGTATAATAAATGTGGGCATAATGGTATAGTTGGCTTATCATTGACAACATTATGTTTTCAGATTTATTTATTACACTTTTGGTAGGTATCTAACTTAATGATTTTTGAATTACTGATTTAAATTACTGTTGTTTGCAAGGTGTATTATATGATTTCATTGGTGTTTATTTAGATTTATCTATCTACTACAGAAATGCCACTGCTTATCTTAACTTTATGCATTATAAACTATGTATTTTTTGGACTACCTTGCAATTGTGATTGTGATTTCTATATATTAATTGTCACATTTTGTTAAATAATAGGTATACTTGTCCTTTGTTTTGCTAAATAAATTATTCTGATTCTTATTTATGGATTGAGTCAGAAAACTTGATATTGATATGCCGGACGTTGTGACCAAAAATTGTAATTATTTATGTTAATAGCACATTTAGGACCAAACTCCTAACCCCCAAAAAGCCGGTGACGCACTTGGGTGACGCACTTGTGACGCCTCTGGTGTTCCAGGTGTCCATGGGCGACGCCGATTGCTTACCATCAGGTTGAGGTGTAGTATCTATGTAAGATCTATGTTATATAATGTAATGTATCGCATTTGTATGAGGAGTAATAAAAGGTAATCGATCGGGAACAGACGTTTCATTAAAACATACTCCCTTCAAGGTGATCCGTCTGATCGTTTACCGGTTTATGCCATAAAAAAAATATATACAGAGTAAATAACTTAACTCTGAAAAATTGAACTTGCATTGAAAAAATCAGCCCTAAGAACAATTTAAAATGTCAATACTTTTTGGTCGAAGAGTATATATAAAAACTCTTTAGTTGTAAGAAGCAAATATAGAGACCGAAAAAAGCAAGTCATTCATCAGTAACGTCAACGGACACGATTGTCATCAAAAATTAAATGAAAAAAAAAAATGAGAAAAATAATAAAAAATAAATAAAAAGCTCTAAATAAAATGCCGTGGTATAAAGAAACGTAATTAAATATATATTTTTTACAACACATTATTGAATTTTGACGCTATTGCTTCATTATGGGTAAACCACCGTACATTTACACGGAATCGGAATCAGAAGACACATCGATTAGTTCTACTGAAAATAAGAAGAAGAAGAAGAGGTTCTCGTAAGTATTTGAGTTTGAACTTAATTTTTTTGGTAATAAATTTGATTTTGCTGTAAACAAAATAACATATAAGGTACTTTGAGAAAATATAGTCACGTGGGTTCAGGCCGTTTTGGTTTTTTTGTACTTTCTTGCTTTATGCAACAACCCTTCTTAATATTTTCTTCCAGCATTCTCAAATACACTAGACGTAATGTAAAGAAACAAAAATGCAAAATTCAGAGTAAGTCTGAGCCTGAAGAATCGGACTACAACAGTAAGGGCCGGTGCAATAAAGTGAGATACAAGCTGCCTGGTATACTCAAACACTCACATGTCGAGCGGGAGAGAGAGAGTGAGTGTTGAGAGATATCATCATCATCATCATCATCATCATCATTACTATTATAAGCCTGTAACTGCTACTGCTGGATATAAACATCTTTTCACACGGAGGAGATAATAACATAATAAAAAAGGAGCTGCACATTACGGCACTCGATGCCACTGTACAATGTAACACCCACTTTTCACTATTTATGTTATGAGTCCCATGTAATAGGGGGTGAGCTTGTTGCCATTTACCGGGCATAATTCAAAACTCCGTGCTGCTACTGAGAATTTTTAAAAACCCCAGTAATACTTTGCCCGACCCGGGAATTGAACTCGAGACCCTTTACTACTACTACGCGGCCCCCGAGACCCTTTACTCGGCAGTGTGCACTTGCGACTACGCGGCCAACGAGCAAGAAAATACATAATAATGTAGACATATTTAGTTTTTTAGAATTTAGATAGGAAGTGTGTTTTTAATTGTAATCAAAATACTGATCTGAGGTTGGGCTGCAGCACTCTCTGATAAACGCACCTTTCACCAAATCTGCCAAGTGAGGTGATGATGGACTCTCTTATGCGAAGAAGTAGTCCAGCTGTGGGCAGTCTCCGCGGGCTACTGATATGATACTTGCTTACATACAACTGCCGCGCAAGGCGTAACAGGTTGCCGGGGCTCCGGCTCGAAGTGCAGGAGTAGGTACGGGGTAGTTATTTCAATAAGAGTCTGACGCTCCCACTCGCCTAACTCAAGGCGGGAGAAGTCATTGGATGATGTTCCCCCCTCAAAAAAGCTTAAGTTTGTACTTAAGCTTTCTTTTGAGTACAGTCGATGAATATTCTACGATTTATAAGTATTTTTGTTAAAATTCTTTCAGCCTCTGACGATGACAGCGAGCCTATGAAGCCTAAGGCTCATGATAAGTACTTAGTGGGACGAGTGCCTCGGTCTGCTGGGACGAAGCCCGGCCGAGGTGGAGGGGTCGCCATTATTGTTAGGAAGCATGTCAGCGTGAGTATATTCCTAAATACGTCACAATGGATCTATGACTTACTAACTTTAATTTTACGGCTACCCTTATATGATGGATATTTTACCCATTCGCACGACGTGTTTCGTGTCAAGCTTCCTTGTGCGAACGTGCAAACTTAAGGAATGGAAGTTCTTGCTGGAATCTGTGTTTCCCGGCAAATACAACTTGGGTGTCTTCAAGTCCAAATTGAACAGGTTACTCATAGTTAGGCGTGCTCCATCGTCAGCCACATCATCGCTTACCCCGAGGCGAGATGGTGGTCAAACGTCAACCTATTATGGTCAAACGTCAACCTATTAAGTATAAAAATAGAAATAAAAGATTTCAATAAAAATGAAGGCAATACGATGTTCATCGAATAGTTCGTCTGTTATGATAGGTCGATTTTGTCAATTCGATATCTTTTTCATTAATTCTGATTGATTCATTTAAAATTTTACTTAAAAACTTCTTGCTCAGACATATTTGCTTAAGTAAAACTTTTCAAGTTAGTTAGGTAGTTGTACCTGGAATGTTTTCCGGGAGTTTTGATATTGGCAATATTGTAAATTTTGACATGCTCTTTCTGATTTCCATTTTGGACCCTCGTGCGTGCGCCGCTTGCGCAGCCCTCTTGGAAAGATAGCGACCAAAAACTGGTTTTTTGCAATATCTCTTTTCCTGTGCATTTTAGGAGAAAAACGTTGACTACAAAATTAACAATTTCCTACAATATTTTGTACCTAATGATCGAACTATTTTATCTAGCAGTAAAATGCAGTAGTGTCTTTATACAGTTTTACTTTACACTCAAAATGTTTATTATTGTTATGCTTTATTTAACCTGAAAACGAAAATAGGGGTTACGATTCTTAACAAAAAAAATAACCACAGAGACATAGACACACAAAATAAATCCTAGAATTAAAATCTCGAACTTAAACTTAACAGAAATGTCTTTTCTACTGAAATTCTATTTAAAATGAAACGTCTAGAGTTTAAATCGTGTTGTCAGGCATCCGACGATTGGTTTGCCTGCGGGCATCGTCTGAACAAGGCACTTCAACCTAGGCATAGACTATACCTCTAGATAAAGCTAGAATACTGAACATAACTGAATTTCAGAACATTTCCAATTGGAAGGTTTAGACATGTTAATAGTTCTTATACAGCCTTTGCTACGTACAATTGATTCGTTTGAAATCGTGAATACGAAACTTGTAGAATTTGATTTTAAATGTATTTTTACAGACTTCAAAAAAAGGAAGTATGAACATTAAATTACATTGTTCGGCTCTTTTTTTTATTTGTTCACCGATTACTCCGCCATTTGTGAACCGATTTCCAGGATTTTTGTTTTGTTTGGAAGGGTGTGCTCCCAAGATGGTCTCATTTTCATGAGGTTAGGATCCGATGATGGAATCTTATGTAAATTAAGAGGAACTTTAATTTACCGGATATTGTTGGGGCGAGTATCGAGTCAATTAGGTTATTTAAACACTACAATTTAATAGGGGTCTGGAGTGGACCTGATGATGGAGCCGACGGACAGTCGAGGGAACTCCTTAACGGTTTATAGTAACTGTCTTGTGTGGGCTTGATCAATTTTTACATCTTTACACTTATTTGTATTATAAGTGGCAAAACGGATCTATGTAGCTTTACACTGAAAATTATAAAATAATAAAATAAAAACTGCGTTTAAAAAACCGACTTCAAAAAACCAAAAACTAATATTAAATAAAAAGTAAAAACTAAAATAAACTATTATTAGTACGCATAGGCTACCCACCCACTTATAGGTTAGAAGTCGGTGCCATTTTTTTTTAAGGGGGGAAAATCATCGAATGACTGCTCCTGCCTGGGTGAGGCGGGAGGGAGTGTCAGACTCTTACTGACTAAAAACCACCCCGTTCCTTCTCCTGCACGTCGAGCCGGAGCCCCGGTTACCCGTTAGGTTCTCCGCGACTCCGAATCGGCATCGGCCCTATTGGGCCCCATCTGTGGTGGTCTGATGGCTCTTTGAGGCGCGCGCGGAACGCGACGCGCCGTACGCTCGGGTCTGTTTCTGGTCGGACGGGGAGCCACCCATGCTCGCCGTCCGCAGGCCCGCGCTTACGGTGGCCGGAGATCGTCCCGCGATCCCCGACGCCCGGTGTGTCCTTCGCGATGGCTGGGTTGCGAGGAGGCAGCGCTTCGCTGCCTCACGCGTCCCGCCTCCTCCTTAGCTAGCATGACTGCTTCGCAAAAGGAAAGCTCATATCATAATGATCTCATATAAATAAATAAATAAATAATGATATAACTTAATGGACACATAATTGTAAATTAGGTATCTATTAATGTTTTAATTAATAATTTCGTATATAACTTATTTTAATCACCGAAACCAAAATGACCACTTCACACAATTAGAAAATAAGAAAGACAAGCTAACAACGAAACAAACAAGAATCAAAGTATTAAACTAGTGTAGAGCACGTTTCACTTTTAACCCCACAAAAAGGTCGTCCACCGGCTTTAAAATCCTTTAATATTTTATACGCTGTGTCCTCTCCTCCCTTGCTACAGATTACTCTAAAATATATAGAAAACATTTTAAGTCCACCTTGTATCACGATTTACATTCATCCTCGTGTTTGCCATTGATGTTGGAGAACTAGATGGTGTATGTGGTCATAGTCGTAGTGCACACATGATCTTAGTACGAAATGGATCAAAAATCACCCCGTTCCTTCTCTTGCACGTCGAGCCGGAGCCCCGGTTACCCGTTAGGTTCTCCGCGAAGGATGCATTGAAATGTAATCAAGGTCAATCATTCAGCCACGAGAAAAAAATTAAAATATTGTGACAATTTACATTTTCATACGCCGCATCATCGCTTACCACGAGGCGAGATATAGTGGGCAAATGTAGACACATAACATAATATAAAAAAACCTTAAATTTTCTTTCCGTGGCCCACAAATATTCAAGCTCAATAATCATACTATGGCGCACAAAAGCCTGCTTAGTATTATGTTTAGTTTATCATTATCAGCAATACATTTTTAATAACTGTATTTACCCAATAACATTCAATTTAAAATTAACTAAAATCGCGGGTTACTCACGTGAATATACTGAGAGGGGTTCTGTGACTTTTGAGTGAGCTGCGCGACGTCGCGGCGACCGCACGCTGCTCATGAGGAAGAACCCTTCTGTGGTTCAAAACTAGTAGAGCTTTTCTCAGTATATTCACGTGAGTAACCCGCGGTTTTAGTTAATTTAGTATGTCTCACGATAGTTATTATAAAAACATAACAATTCAATACTTAAATAATACTAAGACTTACGTTACAAATCAATAAAATAAATGATTCTTTTTCTTCCATCTTAAATCTGTGAAGAAAATAATACTATTTTGTACCATCTAGCCTCTTTATATCTATGTGTAGACCATCCCCGCTAATACAGTCGTCTGGGGACCAAGTAGGTGATACGTGCCGGCCCGGGACCCCTTACACACAGCCAAACATTATTCTTTTTTATTATTACATACGATTATTGATTTTATTTTATTACAGTCTTTGTGGACATTGATATTCTATTATTTTCTTACGTATTATACTGTCTGGACAAAGTATTATTGGTTGTTTTCGATATTTTACGAATTTCTCAGTTAATTTAAGTGTGGGAGAGCCATGCTTAGGGACGAATGGGCCAGCTCGAAAGGAGTGATAGCACGGCCTCACATAAAACCGACGTGAAAATACGCTTGCGTTGTGTTTCGTCGTGTTAAAAATGCTACTGGAGGTCCAATCCCTGAATCGCCAAAAATCCTCAAATTCCAAAACCCTTAAAATGCCGGTAACGCACTTGTAATGCGTGATGATCCATCTGCTCGTTTACCGGCTTATCCCGTAAAAAAAGCACGGAGTCTGGAATTGTGCCTTGCATGTGGCAATAGGCTAACCATGGCATTGTATTATATATCTATCTGGTATAAAGTGGGTGTCCATTGTATGTTTGTATATGGATTTACATCTTGCCAAAATTAAATTAATAAGTGTGACTTTATGTTAAAATCGTGTTCTCAAAAGACTTTTTCGTGTTAGAAGCAATTTATTATTAAAACTCTTAAAATTAAATGAAAACGTATAAAAAATATACCAAAATATAATACGACTCGTGAAGGATTTGCACCTCCGGCCTCTGTTGGTGTGACCGCTCCCAAGAAACGAACTGAAGACACAACGGTGAGCGAATCCACCAAGCAGCGCTCTATTCTACTGAGCTAACGAGTCCTGTGTAACGTAGGCTGAAACTACGATATATATTCGAATAAATATCGAAAAATATTAAACAAAAAGAAAATCTTTGTTTAGTGAGGTTTGAACGCGCTACCTACTGCATACAAGGCAGGCGTAGTTGGTGATCGACTATCTGTTAGTCGGTAACCGCGACGAAATTGGGGGTCCAGTAGTCGAAGTCATAGTTAAAGCATTATTTGAATTTTTTGACCTTCATTATGGTACTTTTATGGTCAAACGTCAATATAGAATTGATCTTTAGTCAGTTTGTTAGTGAAGATAGGTGTTCGTTCTAAATTGTTCGTTTGGAGAGCAACGAGCTAGAAATGTCATGGTTACTCTTTACGAAACAATCATGTTTTACTAGCGTCTGCTCGCGGCTTCGGCCGCGTTCTCGTAGGATAAAAAGTATCCTATGTATATTCCAGACCTTAATCTATCCTTGTTCCAAATTTCACCTCGATTCGTTCAGCCGTTTTCACGTGTTTGTGTAAAAAACATACACACAAACAAACACCTGT